GAACATCGTGCCGTTAGTAGAAACATATAGAAAAGCAGTGTTTCAAATTCTGAAATATTTAATCTGATTTCCGTAAACACTGCTACTCTCACTACTTTTGCTAACTTATTTGGAAAAGTGTATTTTTGATATTACAGAAACAAAAAAACACAAATATGCTATGTTTCCCCATAGCTATTCAATGTTAGGAAAAAAGGTGTTGCTATCAGTATTGACATTTTGAATACATGTTAATTTATACTGATAACATCAAAGCTTATCTTTTTTTACTTCATCTCAGAATTTGAGGTTTCCTTTATATTTAGTAAATATTTAAATCACTGTGGTAAGGGTTTTCAATTCATTTATCTGCACCATAGATGAAATAATTCATATTTTAAAATATTTGTATTTCTTGGTCTTACTTGCATGAGCCTTTTACTGATTCATTATCCATGCTCTGCCATCAACCAAATTAAGAGACCTATACAATTTACTCTTATTTTGATTTCTAAAAAAACACTGGGGGGGGGTATTGAAATTTTCAAAAAGAAAAAATAACACAGATTTATTTTATCTTTACTTTTTAAAAAATTTTATTTATTTTTTTATTGTGTTGTAGGTGCAAGTTTACAGAGCAGAGTTTGTTTTACATTCAACATTACCTGTACATTTAGTTTCACTTCCCATTTACCATCCCCAACCTTAACCCAGTCTCCTCCCCTCCCTGCCCAGTAAACCACTCCCCTCCCCATGTCCCTCACAGTTATGCACTCCTGTGTGTCCTGCATTTCCTCCTGCCAATGTTGCCTCTCTGGCGCCCTGTGGTCAACTGCTCCAAGGAATGCATTTCCATAGAGTATGTGGGTGCATCACCCTGGGTTGAGTGGTCTGCATATACACCTTGTTTACTGTTGGGCTGAGAGCCAGCCCCTGAGAGTTTTATTCCAGGCCCAGAATGTATCCCAGGGCCATAGTACTGGGGGTCTCATCAGACTCTATCCGACCAGTAATTCTGGTCATTATTGAGTTTTTGAATTTTATTCCACATTTTTTCTCCCACTCTATCCAGGATCTCTAGATTTGATCCTTTCGTGAGTGGGTGGCACTGGTAGCCGGCACCATCTAGTTCTTCTGGTCTTGAGAGCCATCATGTCCTATGGCTGATTGCTTCCAAATGCCCTTTTTTTTTTTGCACTCTTCTTCGCTTCCAACAATTAGAGACCATTAGCTGCATCTCAGATAGCCGCTTGAAAGCTTTTAAGACCCCAGTCACTATTCACCAATGTAGGATGATGAATGAGACTTTTATGCATTTTGTTGTGCCAATTGAGCCTGTTGTGCCCCAGTACTATGGTCCTGATTCTGCAGAGACGCTGGATCTCTCTCCCACAGTGTCTGGGTGTCTGTGAGGGATCACTCTTATGTCTGTCTTCTGTTGTTTCTGTAAGGACTGTGGGTATTTTGTATCACTGGTAGCTATGCAAGATTATGCTCACCTGAATCTATCCTTGGTCTAGAGTATACTTCTGTTCACTGACCCCCATCTGATCTTCACAGATGTTTATGTGTTTATCTATAGCCTGGTGTTTGGTGTTAATGGTAATGCCGTATTGTGGATATACTGGTTGGTATTAGCATCTGTTGTCTATCTCTTGTGTGCACAATTTGGTGTCTTCCCTTTTCCTAAAGAATAATGTAGGAAAACAAAGTTTTTCAATATACCTTTTCAGCTTCTTCTGCTTCTTTTTCTTTTTGTTTTTTTTCTTCTTCTCTTCTAGTTTTTATTTGATCTACTATTTCATTTAATTTTTCTTGCACAGCTGACACTAAAGTAAAGATCATTACCATACCAAGGTTTTCTTCTGCCTTTGTGACAAAAGATAAAAGTTGTGGTAAGAAACATATTTCACAGAAAAAAACTAATGAATTTAAAAGTGCTTAAGCATAATTACTAAACTCCATATATTTAAAATATGATTACTAATTCAGTTACACTATATGTTTATTGTTGTTAGGTACTGTCAAGTTGATTTTGACTCCTAGTGACTCACTGTGATGGAGCAGAACTGTGTTTTAGTTGTAATCTTTAAGGAAGCAGATCACTAGGTCTTTCTCTTGTGGTCCTGCTGGGCAGATATGAACCACCAACCTTTCGATTAGCAGCCAGGTGCTTAACCATCCATGCCACCAGGCCTGGGCATAACGATATCTTATACACCTGCTCCTCACTGACTGTTTCATTATCTGGCATTCTGCACATATGACAACAGTAAAAAAATCTACTATCTGACTATTTTTTCCATTTTGACACAAGTCTAGCAGTGACAAACACTTAAGTTGTAAGGCAAGGGTAACAGTGGCTGTGATGGTTAAGGTATGTGCCAACTTGGCTGGGCCATGATTCTCAATGGTTTGGCAGTTATGTAATGATTTAGTCATCCTCCATTTTCACTTAATGACCTAATCTTTGGAACTCAAGCAGGTTGGTAAGTGAGGAGTGGGTGTATAAGTCATGTTAATAATTTGCTGTATCTAGCCTAAAACAGGTATTTCAATAAATTTTATTTAACAATAAATGAAGGTGAAATTCAGAAAACCTTTTCCAACAATAACTAGTAATATTAGTTCTCCAACATGTCTGCAGTATTTTAGTTCCTTCTGAGCTATGAAAATGAACTGAACTTTGAGACCAAAGTGATTTTCTAATTTAATATAATAATAAAGAGTGAAAGTACTTTCATGATTCATCTTTACATTTTTCCTTCTAAATTTGAAATAGTTTAATAGTAAATATAAGAACAACCCAAACTCATTAAAGGGTTTTAATTCTAAAGTCTATTTGGAAGTTAAGGAGCTTTGGTGGTACAGTGCCTAAGGCATGTGACTGCTAACCAGAAAGTTGGTGGTTCAAACCCACCAGCCGCTCTGTGGAAGGAAGATGGGGCAATCTAATTCTGTAAAGATTAACTTTTTGGAAACCCAATGGGTTTTGACTCAATGGCAGTGGGTTTTTTTTTTTTTTTTGGTATTTGGAAGTTGGGAGAAGTTGAAGGTAGAACAAGATAAGCAATATATCCTTGTTTCTTCATAGACAGCGTTCAAGGAGGTAGACAAAAAGAGAAAATCAAATATACATCTCTGTCACTAACTTCCTCAGACCCTGAAGTACGTACACGTACACACACACACACACACACACTCTCTCTCTCTCTCTCTCTCTCTATATATATATATCTAATTTATAAACTGAAGAGATATTTTGAAAATATAAAACTAATCACTCTTCAAGAATTAACCATTATAGTTCCATCACTTATCAACACCTACCTCAAAAAAGTTGAAGTAATTCAGTATGACTCGAATTTCCAGGAAAAAATAAGACTTTATCTCACCCCCCTGCCTCTTGTCCCTCTACCTTATAACTCTTCCACCCCCTTCACTGCATGGTGAACTCTTCCTTCTGGTCTCAGCTTCTGCTGTGCCTCAAGTCTATGTGCATCCACACACATGTATATTTCACCCATGATAGCATTTTCTGCACAGAAAAATGATTTCTCATTTGTTAGTCCATATTCCTCACTAGAGTATAAAATCTATGAGATCTTGGTCACTTAATGCCTGGCACATATCAAAAGCTTAATAACAAACACTTACTACCCAAAGCACTCTAATATTATAGATCTCCACTTAAAATATCTACTCCATATGTAATCTAGCTAAAGAAAAATTTTTTAAGTTAAAATTCCAATAGAAAAATTGAATCATTCACATAACAAATAGACAACTCAGAAGTCATGTGCAAAGATTTATGAGTCAGAATCAACTCAATAGCAATGGGTTTGGGCTTTTTTTTTTAAGTTTAATAACAAAACAAATGAAAATTATAATTATATATAACTTCCACTTTGTTATCGATGTTTTCTTTTTAAATGAAAACATAAAATGTTAGCAAATGTGAGCAAACAGATATCTCAAAGTTGTGGATGAGATAAAAAATTGGCAAAGCTATGTTGTAGGTCAAATTGACAGGACAGAATGTGCAAAATTCTTAAGTATGCATACTTTATAATCCAGCAATCCTACTTCTAGAAAACACGGGATTAGTATATCCATCAGTAAGTCATTCTTTTCATGTATTCAACAAATATTTGAATATCTATTACATGCCAGGTACTAAGGATTCAAGAGAGACCCTGCTCTAAGAACTTATAAGTAGTGATGTGTTCAAAGAATTAAAAATTGCATCAGCCAAAAATGAGAAAAAATTACATATTGTTTTTAAAAGGATTTACATTATTTTTTTTGAAATACAGAGATGCCAGTAATGTACTATTCTGTGAAAAAAAGCATGTCATAAAACTTTATGTACAGAATGATCTAATTTTGAGTGGGACATGGGGACACTATGTATATAAGGATCAGAAAAACAGTCTGGGATAAAACTATAACTAAAATATTAATAGGCAATTACACCTGGTCGAGAAAATTGAAAGTAATCTTTCTTTTTTCTTCATGATTTTCTGAGTTTTTTTGCAGTATGATTTTATTTTTATAATTAAAAAGTAATACACCTATTACTGGAGGAAAAGGACAAGCACTTCCTCAAAACATCTAATCTTCAGTAGATGTCAAAGAGAAATAAAAACTGCCCTTTTGAAAGGTAGGACTTTTAATATAAATAAAATATTAAACACATGAAGAAATTCACTCAGACTGAATAATTTACATTAATGTGCGACTGAACATAGCCTAACCTTCCCAGGTTGCCTGCAACATTTTAAAACAGAACATGTTGATAAACCAAATGAAATCAGAATTAGTATAATTTTGTAGTGGATTACATAGTGAAAAGGGCTTGAGATCAGTTCAAATTCCTGATTGATGGATCTTATTTCACTCTTCATTTTCTAATAGATCCAGACATTTTCATAATGCCAATACAGAAGCACAGTCATCCATGGATTACATAAATCGCTTCTAAGGTGGGGCAGCAATCCAACAGATAATAGAAATTCCAAAGAGAACAAAAGAAATGGAGGAAGGAAGTATATATATTAGTTATAGAACTATTACTATATACATTGTTGTTGTTGTTATTTGTCATAGAGTCGGCCCTGACTCCTAGCGACCCCTCCTTGGGTTTCCGAGGCAGTTATCACTACGGAAGTAGGATTGCCCAACCTTCCTTCTGAGGAGTGGCTGGTGGGTTTGAACCGCCAGCCTCCTGGTTAGCAGTCAAGTGCCTTAGGCACTATGCTACCAGAGCTCCCACTACATACATAGTTACATATATGTGTGTGTGTTTGTGTGTGTGTGTGTGTGTGTCTATATATGTATCTCCCAGAAATGAAATACATTAATTTCCTAGACTGAAAGTATTCAACGCAGTGAATAAAAACAGATTCACAACAATGCACACCATCAAGAAATTTTAGAACACAAGGGAAAAGGAAAAAATCTTACAAGCTTTCATTTAGAGAGGAAAAAAAAAGATTACATACAGTGCAATACAGAGAATCAGAATAGGAATAAATATCTCAACAGCAATGAAAGCTAGAGCAATGTCTTCAAAATGAGGAGGAAATATAATTTCCAAGCAAGAATTCTATACTCGGTCTCATTTTTTTGAGACAGAGTTTCAAAACATTGTTCTCCTATGCATTCCTCTTCAGGGGGACTGGAGACTTCTACCAAAAAAAGGAGTAAAGAAAGACAGATGACATGGGACCAAGGAAAAAGTAAGTCCAAGAGAGGAAAGGTGAAAGAAATTCTCAGGATAAAGGTACATGAGTCAACAACTGACTTGAACAACAGTAACAGCAGGCTTGAGCCAAAATCAAGACTGAATGAAAGCTCTAGGAGGAATGGACCCCTGAAAGACATAGGACTGAATGGCCATTAGACAAGTTTGGCTCTATGAAAACTTGTGTTGAGAGGCTACTGGAGTATGTGAAAAGATTCACTTCCAATGAAAAATGAAGCAATTATTGAACTCTGGGAAAAACAAAAATATTTCAAGAAAGGATATAATTACAGCAAACTAATTGGTTCAGCAACAAATATATTTATGCATTCATAATTATAAAAACACTGAATAGAGATTTAACCAAACACTGAGCTCTAACTCTTAATCAGAGAATGACAGAAGTGGGGAGGAGTACTATAGTTATATAAGAAAATTAAAATCTTTATTCTGCCATAAGGAGCTCTGGTAGCGTAGTGCCTAAGGCACTTAACTGCTAACCAGAAGGCTGGTGGTTCAAACCCACCAGCCACTCCTCGGAAGGAAGATGGGGCAATCTACTTCCATAGTGATACTGCCTCGGAAACCCAAGGAGAGGTCACTATGAGTCAGGGCCGACTCGACGGCACATAACAACAACAACAACATTCTGCCATAATAGATAATGACTAAAATTGTTTAATCAAGAAACAGCACAACACACATTTTATTTAGAGACATTAAAGCAAATACCAGAAGAAATAATTTAGAGTTAAAAGGGGCTGCCACTGGGAACACAAAGACTGAATGAGGTCTGGGGAAAGGGGGGATGCATATAAGAATGACAGATTTATTCTTTTAAAAGTATTTTAGCACTCTATCTTTTTAAAATTAGGTGCCTATAATACTTTGCTAAAAATAAATATTAATTTAAAATGAAACTAAATCTATTTTGATGTAAAAAATTACCAAAATATAAAACTTACAGCATTATTCATAATAAAACATATGCAACATACGTATGGTAACTTAAAAATTTTGTCTGAGGCACCAAAATAAAATGGATATGGCATTCCAAAGAGAAGTAGGAGACACAAATTTTCAAAGAAAATATTCCCTAACCAGTTATATAACTCTAAAAACCCTTCATCCACAAGGATGTGAAACAGTCCAGACTACAAAGAAAGAAAATTTGGAGGAAAATCTCTATCAAGACTAACTAATGTGCTATAGGTTTCACTCCCTTCCTGTCTAAAATGGTGGGAATAGCTCCCTTTCCTGCAAGTCAAGGACTACCCAGAACTTGATAGGCGGCCCTATGGTTAGGAGGACATAGTAGACTGGTATCTGACACCCATCTGAGACATCAGCCTCAGGTGAGACAGGCTAGTTGGATGCTCTGGTGATAAACGAGTAGAACCAAGAGTGATAAACCTGTGTGTGTGTGTGTGTGTGTGTGTGTTGAGGGTGGGGAGTGGTGGCTGCTCTGAAGAACCCATAAAAGCTATCTACCAAAGAAGAGTCACCCTCCTACCACAAAACTAGTCAGGTAAGAACTTTTCTATATGTAATTCTACACAATCTTTCCCAATCTTGGAGGGGTCATAAACCATGGTTGTTGTTTGTAAACTGAGGAGAAGAGATGTTGTTGTAGTTATATGCCATTGAGTCGGCCCCGACTCATAGCGACCCCTCCTTGGGTTTCCGAGTCTGTATCACTACAGAAGTAGGATTGCCCAACCTTCCTTCCGAGGAGATAGGAGAAGAAAAAAAAAAAGTATATATCGACCACCAGTCCTCTTCTTAGATTGTAGGCAACCAGCCTACAAGAAGTCAGGCAGAGTAGGAGTTTTAATGTTTAAATAATTGGAAATTTTATTTATATATGGGACTAGACATTCTAAGAACCCAATCAAAATTATGTGTGCAAGTTATCTGTCAGACATTTTATGACCTAAAAGTTAGCAGAAAATCATGGAGCTAATTGACTTTCAATGGGAGCGGGAGGTAATTTCTATACAAATGTTAAAGGACCATAGAAGATAATCATAAAGATGCTTTTTGATTATACATCGTGAGTTGTTTTGCTTGTTCAAAGTACTGGTTACACAAATTTGATATGATTTTTTGACCCTTGAAATTAATGTATATGATTTAAGGCCAATAAAAGTATACTTATAAAAACATATAATATTATTTCCTTACCTGTAATGCTAATAATTTTAAAATGTCTGAGACATCATTATCTGCTAGATTTTCCTGGGAGAATATTTCATAAAGGGGAGCATCATCTGGATATTTCTCACTGTATGTAAACTTGAGTGTAGTCTGGACAGCTAAGATACAAGATAAAAGAGTTTGATGTGAATAATTTAAAATGTAAAATACAGAAAGGTCAACATCTTTGTTGAATTAGTCATTAATTTACAATGTGTCATTTGCAAACTTAGCACAACAGATTTGCATATGAAAGCAGAACAAGATTACTCTAAAACCAGAAAGATAATCACTGATATAAACACTAAACCCATACCAAATCAAATCACGGAATACCAAAGAATCACTCCTTATTCATGAAATAATGACTACTTGAGTCAGCACTTTACCGTAAGTACTGCCTATCAGAGAAAGAGGATGGGCAAACCACTGTTTTAAAACCTTCCCAAAGATAAACTACACAGAAAAATTACCAGCTTAGGCCAATTTTCAGGCTCTGGTAGCATAGTGCCTAAGGCACTTGACTGCTAACCAGAAGGCTGGCGGTTCAACCCACCAGCCACTCCTCGGAAGGAAGATGGGGCAATCTACTTCCATAGTGATACTGACTCGCAAACCCAAGGAGGGGTCGCTATGAGTCAGGTCCAACTCAACGGCACATAGCATTTCAAACCAAACCCACTGCCGTAGAGTCGTATCCGACTCCTAGCGACCCTTCCTTGGGTCTCCAAGGCAGTATCACTACGGAAGTAGATTGCCCAGTCTTCCTTCTGAGGAGTGGCTGGTGGGTTTGAACCACCAGCCTTGTGGTTAGCAGTCAAATGCCTTAGGCACTATGCTATCAGAGCTCCTATATATGCATTCCACGGATATGTATATATTACACAGATACATACATAAAATCTCAAACATAACAAGCACTTAAATATCATAACAAGTCTTTAAATATCTAATACAAGCATAATCTCATTCCATAAATATGCCACCATTTATTAGCTATTTAACAAATTTCTTTTTTTCCCATTAGGAAAAATGATACAATTAACATTCTGCATAAGTATCTTCGTGTCATGATTCTTTCCTTAGAATAAATAGTTTCTAAATAGAATACTCACTGGATAAAAGGGTATGAATATATTTAAACCTCTTGCTACATGGTTCTAAATGGCTCTACTGAACATATCTATCACTTCATATTCCCACCAATGATGACAATTTGTTGAATTAGATGGAATCTTATTTTCATTTTAACCTGCAATTTTTAATTACTAATGAGAATGAATTTTAAATTTTTATTATTTTTAATTATTTAACTTTGAGGATAACTTTTATTTCTACTTTTAGAAATTATATGCTTATATCCTTTTTCACCTTTCTATTAATGGGCTCACTGAAATGTAATTTCTGGGGAAAAATGACAGTACAATATTTGCTCTAAAGAAATAATTTTAAAAGTACTTCCCAGATTTTCAAAAGAGCACTGGTGGCACAGTAGGTAAGGCATTTGGCTGCTAAGCAGAAAATTGGTGGTTCAAACCCACCTGCTGCTCCTCGGGAAGAAAATGAGCCCATCTACTTCCATAAATACTTACAGCCTTCGAAACTCAATGTGGGTTTTTATGAGTTGGAATCAACTAGGTAGCAGTGGGCTTTCGTTTTTACCAAATTTTGGATAATGAGTGATAGAGATATAATTAAGAATACGGGAGCTTCCTCAAGAAATTTTTAAATTTTATTTTTCATTTCAATGTAATTTTAAGAGAAATTGCATTCTGGATTGTTTTATATATGAACACTGTCACAGCACTTCAGCACACCTCTAACGGCACCATATGAAGCCCTTATGATGTCATGGGCTTCTTTACAAGGAAAGTTTTCAACAGTTTGAAAAGCAGTCAGTGCAATGTTTATTTTGTGTTTTATTGTAGTATAATTTCTCTTTCAGGTACCAACCTGCAGGAGTTTACTTGGTATCACTTCAGTAGCAAATTACTCAATAATACCCTTTTAATTCATATTTTAAGACTATCTCAGTAATAACCTCATTTTCATTGCAGAAGACAGAAACGTGGTTTTTAAGTGATACCAATGAAATCGGCTATTGCTGAGTACTTATGGCAGAATTTTGGCTGTTTAGCCTAAAAGACATGGGAGAAAGATATGGCAGTCTGCTCCCTTAAAGATTTATAGCCTTGGAAATGCTATGGGGCAGTTCTACTGTGTTCTATAGGGTCACTCACCATGAATCAACTCCATAGCAATGGGTATGGGTAGCCAAAAGGAGGGAAAAAATCCTTAAGGTTGTTGATACCCATTTACATAATTTTTAAATGAAAACTTGCAAAAATGAACTGGATTAAAAGTAGAATTAAATCTATGATCCTCCAATAGTATCTGTTACATGTAAATTACTGAATTTTAATTTATTAGTTTATAAAATGAATCCACTGCCACTGAGTTGATTCCAACTCAGAGTGACTCTACAGGACAGAGTAGAAATGCCTCCTAGGGTTTCCAAGGCTATAATCTTTACATTTTCTCCCACAGAATAGCTGGTGGGTTCGAACCACCGATCTTTTGGTTAGCAGCTGAGCACTTAATCACTGTGCCACCAGAGCTCCTTTACTGGCTGTACAGCTATTATAAATAGCTTCTTTCTTTATTTCAATTTGTACATTTGTCTTGGTTCCATAGTTATATAATAGCTGTTTTTATCTAGTTTTGTGATTGTATATATTTAAATAGCATTAGCATAGTATCTATCCCAAAGAGAAATATCCTATAAACAATCTACCTAAAGAAAGGAAGTTAATGTAAAAAAATTAAAGACACTCAATAGAATACCACATAACTACTAAAATGTTTGCATGTTTTAGACAAATATCACCTACCTTTTCTCCATCTGTTATATTAACATTTGTTTCTTCTTTCAAAAAAACATACTTATTGTGCCAAAATATATCTCAATGACTTCCTATTTCCCCAGAAGTCATGTTTACACAGTAAGTACTGACTGGAACCACACTAAATAGCACCTTAGCAACTCCACATCTCAATGCCCAGCACAATGGCTGCAGAATGACTGCAATTCCTAAGACAGGAGCTTAGGAAAACAGTATTTTTGGTTAGCACTTACTTTCATCATTTTCTCCAGCCTCAGATGTCACAGTAATGGTAAAAGTGGGTGGAGTTTCTGATAATACTGTAAAAAAAACATATATATGTAGAGGTTAAATCATTAAGATGCTTCCTATGGCAGATGCTTTTTCCTTATTAGTAAACTATTACTTTCTAGTCTTAGAAACTGGTTCCTAGCCTGTATTCCCATTTCCACAAATACAAACTGAACAGACATTTATGTAATTTTGGTGTAGTAAATTATTTAACATGGCCCTTCTAGCCACAGCCTTTAACTTCCATCAAATGAATGGGTAGAACTATGTAACTGTGGTGCTTGTGGCCTATCAAGGGACTGGATCGCTTGCTAACAAGGTAAATAAAGTATATGGCACCCTTGTGCAGGTGGGATCATAAAAAGAAGGTATACAGAACCATAACGAGAAAACTGGTCAGTTTTGCCATTCTGCTCAGTTTGAAATGAGCCATCCTAGAGATGGAAAGGAAGGACCTAACTACCACCAAGAAGAAGAGATTGGAGCAAGGTACGTTCTTTGGACCCAGGGTCCTGTACTGGGTATTTCCTTGACCCAGGAGACTGAGAGCTGTGACATTGGAGAGACAGTGAGGGGCAGCAGAGGCAGGAGAACCAGGATATCGGCAATAGATGGTGCAGCGAGTTTCTGAAGCTACAGAGTAAAAGAGCTGAGTACCTTTGGGGCAGGAGACTTGCTGGTGGAGTGGGTTGCCTCAGGGCACTTATTGGCAAAGCTAAATGAGCTTTATAACAGGGCACAGGCCAAGAGGCTGCAAGGCAGAGGGCCAGAGGAGAGGTGTGCCTATGGGCACTGCTGAGGAGAGGCTGTCCTCATCCAAGAACTGTATCCTGAGTTGTTTTTTATCCCGAACTGTAACCTGTTACTTCCCTAATAACCCCCATAATCTTGAGTATTGTCTGTGAGTTCTGCATGGCTATTACAATGAATTATCAAGCCCACTAGAGAAGTGGAGAGTGCTGTGGGAGTACAGGTAGTGTCAGAATTGCTAAAAAGGTTGGAGGGTGGAGACATGCCTAACTTCTGCCTCACAGGACTCAGGCTTGAGCTGCTGATCTTGATCTTTCACCCTCCTTGGAAGCCAGAGGAGGTCAGACAATGCCCCCACACCATTTTTACAATAATAAAATGTACACTGATAAACATTTGTATCTGGGGTTGTCCTTAATCTGGAAAAAATAAAAATTTATGGTAGATACCCTCTTGGAGTTTTATCAAAAAATAAGATAATTAAGTACATGTACTCCTCACATCGACATGATTAAGTTCCAAAGATCAGGTTATTATGTGAAAATTAGCATTACATAACCATAGAAGCTAATCACACCAGATCACAAAAAGGAGGATGACTGCATTATTACATAACTGCCAAATTATATTCTTACATAATTGCTAAACCAATGAGAATCATGGCCCAGCCAAGTTGACATATAACCTTAACCATCACAACCAGCATTACTCTCACCTCAGACTTCAGCATTTGTTACTGCGCAAAATAGAGAAAATATTTTTCACTACTGTTGTAAATGCAAAATGTCGGATAACAATAGTTGATAACTGAGGAATAGGTGTAATTTACTTTTTATTTCAATATCACCACCTGCTGCTGCTGTTGTTAGGTGCTGTCAAGTTGGCCCCCACTCATAGCCTTCCCACTCCTCGGAAGGAAGATGGGGCAATCTACTTCCGTAGTGATACCGTCTCAGAAACCCAAGGAGGGATCACTATGAGTCGTGTCCAACTCGACGGCACATAACAACAACAACATAGTGACTGTATGTACAACAAACGATGCCCAGTTTTGCGCCACCCTCACTATTGTTGAGGAGCCCTGAGCCCATCATTGCAGCCACTGTGTCAAACCATTTCATTGAGGGTCTTCTCCTTTTTCGTTGATTCTCCTCTACCAAGTACAATATCCAGTGAATGGTCCCTTCTTACAACATAACCAAAGTATATGAGATAAAGTCTGGCCATTCTAGCTTCCAAGGAACATTCTAGCAGCACTTCTTCCAGGATAGATTTGTTTATTCTTCTGGCAGTCCATAGTATTTTCAGTACTTTTCACCAACCCTGTAATTCAAAGGCATCAACTCTTCTATGGTCTTCCTTAGTCACTGTCCAGTTTTCACACACATGAGGCAATTGCAAATACCATGGCTTGGGTGCACCATAGTCCTCAAAGTCACATCTTTGTTCCTTAACACTTTAAAGAGCTCTTTTGCAGCAGATTTGCAAAATGCTATATGAGAAGTTTTAAATTCAGGGAGTGTGTCAGGTTTGTATCCATACTTATTCAATCTGTATGCTGAGCAAATAACCAGAGAAGCTGGACTATATGAAGAAGAATGCAGCATCAGGATTGGAGGAAGACTCATTAACAACCTAAGATGCAGACAATACACCTCTGCTGAAAGTAAAGATGACTTGCAGCACTTACCGATGAAGATTAAAGACTACAGTCTATAGAGTGTGTTTTGGTTACCTACTGCCGCTCTGACAGGAATATACTACAACTGTGTGGGCTTGAACAAAAAGGAGTTTATTCTCCTACAGTTAGGGAGGCTAGTAATCCAAGTTCAAAATGACAGGCTCTAGGGGCTGGGTGAAAGCCCCTCAACTTGGGCTTCAGCTCTGCCTCTTGCTTCTGGCCCACTGAAGCTAGAGGCTTCTCTAGTCAGACAGCTGCTGGCTGCTGAGGCTGACAAACCCAAGGTCAACAAGTAGAAAGGTACAGTCCCAATGTTACCAAACAACACAGCAGGCCATTGGTTCAAGTCCACGGAAAGTCCCATGATCGGCAGAGCATGGCAGGCTGCTGAACAACAACTCTGCTACATGCAGGGTTCAAGTGTGCCATAAGCTAGAGACCATTTCTAAAGCTGCTTCTTATATATGGAAAGCAGAACATATCCTTAAAGCAGCTACTCAGCTGCTTGTGGTAGATCACACCATGCAAATGATTTCCTGTCTTATTATGGAGATTAACTACCACCAGCTACCTAGCCACTCAACCAGGCCCAGTCAAACTGACACACAACCCTAACTACCATGGTATGGATTACACTTCAACATAAAGAAAAGGAAAATCCTCATACCTGGACCAATAAGCAGCATCACAATAAATGGGGAAAAGATTGAAATTGTCAAAGATTTCATACTACTTGGTTCCACAATCAACACCAATGGAACCAGCAGCCAAGAAATCAGACCATGTATTGCACGACGCAACTATGCTGCAAAATACCTCTTTAAAGTGATGAAGAGCAGACATGTCTCTTTGAAGACTAAGGTGTGCCTAACCCAAGCCAAGGTATTTTCAATAATCTCATATGCATGTGAAAAATGGACAGTGAATAAGGAAAACTGAAGAAGAGTTGATGCTTTTGCATTGTAATGTTGGCAAAAGATACTGAAAGTACCATGGATTGCCAGAAGAATGAACAAATCTGTCCTAGAAGAAGTGCAGCCAGAATGTTCATTAGAAGTGAGAATGCCCAAATTTCATTTCACCAACTTTGGCCATGTTGTCAGAAGGGACCGTTCCCTGGGGAAAATACCATGCTTGGTAAAGTGGAGCATCAGCATAAAAAGGGGAAGGACCTCAACAAGATGGATTGACACAGTGGTTGCAACAAGCAGCTCAGGTATAGAAAGGATTGTGAGAATGGTGCACAACCAGGCAGTGTTTCATTTTGTTGTACAGAAGGCCACTATGAGTCAGAGCTGACTTGATGGCACCTAACAACAGCTCTGGTAGCATAGTGGCTAAGGCACTTGACTGCTAACCAGAAGGCAGGCGGTTCAAACCCACCAGCCACTCCTCGGAAGGAAGGTTGGGCAATCCT